TCAAATATCTGCAAAAAATATTTTGTATGTGTATGAAACTGAAGTCTGCCTACAAATAGCCAAGTACATAAGATACTATACACTTAACCAATTTTGCATGTACCTGTATCATGCATTCAAATTGGTACATGCAAAGGCCCAGCTCAGCCATACTTGGTTTGAAGAGTTCTCGAAGTCTATAATCTTGCATTAATTTAACAAACACACAGAAGGCTTCCTCTTCTGGCATCTACATTAGAAACAAAAAGGCACAATACAAATAATTTTTTAAAAAATTTCAAGGTCCTTAATCACTTCCTGTGGTACACCCCAGAAGACACTGGATCATTTCAGGTTCATTTTGCTATTATAAGTGTTGGCCTTTTGCCAACACAAACCTAATCTAAACTGCTAAAGCAGTCCTTAGAGTGAAATATGAGTGAGAGTTTAAGTTTGGCAAGTTAATTCAAGCAAAGCTTCATAGTCAGAGGACAGTTAAGCTCAATAAGGCTGAAATAGATAATTAATGCATAGCTGAGGTAACACTATGCTGAAGTAATTTGTGAGGATAAGGTCTCCCCCAAGTTCTGAGAAAAACTGAGAAGTAAATTTGTCCTCTCCAGCAAGAAAGGTCACTCCTTCTAATGAGATGTTCCTTAGTAAAGACAAAAGCAAGGTAACATGTAAGTAAATTAAAACTAGAAGTAGATCATTTCAATTTTGTACAGCATCTTTAAAACACCTTTGCCCAGTGAAGTATCTAGACAGTCTACTGCAGTAAGTGATGCAAAAAGAAAATTAATCACCTAAGAACACTATACTGGCATATGTAGAACCTTTAATGTCAAATGTTTAATATAACGCTCTGTTTACCTGCATAAGCAGCAGCCCAACTATAAAAGCACTTCCTTGACAGTATCCAACCTCACGATCCACTAATGAATAAGCCTAGAAGATAAAGAGCTTTAAAGATTTTGAACAGCAACAATTAATAACCCACTTATACTTTTATCCCCAGTAGCTGTTTTGTAAACGTAAGCAAGTTTTTAAACTTTAATGTAAGAGCAAGTCCTAACGCACAGCCCCAGATCTACCATATTTCTAAAGCTACTGAAGCCACCACTCAAAGCTGTGCCTTCAATTAGTTTTTATTTGTACCACTTAACTGCGTTAGTCAAAATGTCAAAGATCCTGTCCCATAAACAGCTGCAAGAAGCAAGTTCAACTTCACTATAAGAATATCAGCCAGTTTAAGAACTAGTTTCGAGACTGCCAGGCTGTTTCCTTGTTGAAAGTGCTATACAACAACAACCAGATGGGCCTGAGCTATTTGCTCTCCGACATAGCTGACTTCCAACTGCTAGACATTTCAACAAAATAATCTGACTTTCAGTAGATCCAATCCATCTCTGAATATTATTAATATCTCACAGAAGTAAAGGCTGGCCAGCCAATGACCTGCAGGGGACTGAATGCAGTTCCTTGCTCTGCAAGCCAGGACAATAGAAGCATTTCAAGAGTTTCTCTCTAACCCACTTTTAAAAAAAAATGCATTCCTCAACAAGAGAGTTTAATCAAATCTAGGAAGAGAGTACAAAGACAAATTTGGAATACAGACTGGATAACACCGTTATTTATTTTCTCCTTTGCACCCAACAACCTGGTCCACAGAGAAACCTGTAACACAGATATTAGTAGGGACTTAGAATAGGTTAGGGAAGAAACATGTGGGGAGGAGGGTCTGTTGAGGATCCAGTGTGGCATGGGTTTCA